GCTGCCCTCCAAAAGGCAGCACTGCTGAAAGGGGCTGGTGGGGGCCTGCAGGATCTGTCCTCGCTGACTCCACAGGAGCTCAGGGGACATGTGCAATGCTGTGGGGCCTGATTGGGGTCTGGAAGAAGAGGACTTAAAGAAAATCAGCAAATCCTGTGCTCTGGATTCAAAAGTAGAATATTTGGACTCTTCCACTCAAGTCAACAAACACAGAACTCATGGGCCCTGCTGGAACCAGAGGAGGGAGGCTGGAGGTGTTAGAGTGACAGATCCACCTTAGCTGGAACAGTTAAAATCAGAGTTAAAAATCAGGGAGGGTGGCATTTTTGGAATTAGTACCTTGGCACATTCTCCTACATGTCTGGTTGCACATACGTCCTTTCTTTCTGATTTTTAATTTTCCTAATCACTCTGCAAAAGCTATAGGATGATGTATCAACAGGCACGTTTTGCAGATGAAGTTCAGAGAGGTCAAACAGCCTGTGCAAGGTCACTCAGTGATAAGTAACAAAGCCTGACCTTTTGACTGTGGACAAAGAGCATATACACTATAGCACATTATATAATCATCTGCCCAAACTCATGAATAACATGTAACAAGATATTAAGAGGTTCACCCTAAGCTCCACCTATACAATCCAACTACCCCTGGCAAATTGAAGCTGAACCTCTCCAAACATTAGCTCATTACCTAATGTTTCTGATTGTGAAAAAATATGAACTCTTGACACCTCTCCCCTGGGTGGTTAAGCTTCCAGGGTCTCCTACCACGGCCACTAGCAAGAAAAAAAAAAACAGTACAAACGGGCCAAGGGTCAGCTTCACGAGACACCCTCAAACCACTGCCTTTACTTCTATGAGGAAAATACAAAAACTATGTATCGATCAGTGGGATCCCCAGTGTGGATGGAAAAGCCAGCTGCAATTGCTGTGTTAAAGGCCGCAGCCAAAATCCAGAGGCAGGGAGGGCACTAGAACCTAGGCCTCAGAAAGGCTCATTCCCCCACCCAGCAGAGGCAACAGCAATCAATGCCCACAGTGGAAAGGGAAAGAATTCCTTTCTTCTCCTTCGCCACTATCAGCAAAGGCTGCACATTTACCTTGACATTGCTCCTTTACCCTGTACTTGCCCCACCCCCCCAAATTTCCTCTTGGGCTTATCTCCAAGCCATCCTTTTCCTCAAAAGATTAAAGATTTAAACACAACCAGTAAGCAGTATACATAATCTTCAAAGAGCACTTTAGACATCATAAAGTACATTTTAACAGGCACCCATTTTTTCCCCCTTACCACACCTGTCATAAACCATTTATGAGTTTAGCAGAGAAAAGAGAATATACCAGCTCCGATAAAGTTAAAGAACAAAGAACTCAAGAATGAAACCTGGGACTCTGGGTTGCTCAAGACTCCCTCCCCCCTCCTGGAAACACCCCAACTGGCGTGAAAGTTAGGATCCCCCTGCCCCAGGGCATGCCCTCACGGGCTCTTCTCCCTCCCTGGTTCCAATCTCTGAGCCTGGTCCTTACCGGTGGCACACAGAGCGATGAAAGTCTGGGCATGTTTGCGGATCAGAGACAACTTCTCCCTCTGCTGGGGCAGCTTGCGTAGGATGTGCTCGATGAAGTCATGAGGGGTGACAGCAGCCAGGTTCCACTTCAATTTGCCCAACACCACCAATTCCCACTCCTGGTGAGGAAGACAGGGAGAGGACAGCGGAATAAAAACTCCCGCAGGCTGATCTGGTGTGTGTGGGAGGGTTGGGGTCCAGACCAGTGTTAATGATGATCGTTAGGATGGGGCTGCTAAGCTGGAAGGGGGTCTGTTTGTCAGGATGCCCCGAGGGCTTTGAAGTTGGGATGGCTCTTCTTTGCTGCTAACGTCAGGCTCTGTTGCCAAGATTCTATTTTCTTGTAATTCTTTTCCTCCCTAGCTCCCCGCACTCCCACCCAATCCTGACTTCCATGAAATGCTGCTGTCTGCCCACCCAGAAAGTTGGGCCTACCATAAGTTATGGCCAAGGACACTGAAGCCCTTTGGGAATAATTTATTGCACATCTCTATCACTGGATTGATAGTCTTTTAAATCCTCATGGAAAAATGATGCCAGAAGATATAAAGTAAAATAGGCTCCCTTGGCCCAACTCTTTGGTGACCAATTAGCTGGCTTTTACCTGATGCTAAAAAGTGCTGTTTCTTTCTTTGCTGGTTTAAAAAAAAAAATTCCCTTTTGACACATCACACAGAAAACTTGGGGATATGACATTCGGTCCTTTCACCTAAATGTTACACAGGTCTTTGCCCCCGTGGCTAATGGTCATTTGAAATCCCATTTTGCAGATGGAGGTAGTGTGGGACAAGGGCAGAGGTGTCTATCAGGGTCACAGAACCCCTAAGCCAAGTTCTGGGACAATGGAAACAAACCTATCCATTCTGGGCCTCTCACCAGCAGCCCAGCTAATGAAAAATCTTGTGACTCTTCAAGATACATATGGGAAATTGTGCTCAAAAGGAAATAAGCCCAAACCAAAACTTTAAAAAAATATATGTGTAGTCAGAGGGAAAATATGCCTATCATCAGTCATATTCAGAAGAATGAAGGGCAGGGACCACCTCCCCAGTGCACGGCTCTCTCCTTTACTCTGAGAACACCGAATTTCTTGCATTCGTTAGGCCCAGGAATAGATGCTGAATCACAGCACCAACTGGCCATGTGGCCTGCAGCGATTCCTTTTCTTTCCCTGGGCCTCAGCTTTCTTTCTCATTTGTCAAATAGGTGGACTCTTCCAGATCCCATAAAGAGATGGGAGAGTTAAAAAAAAAAATTTTATTTGGAACAATATAAATTAGCTTGGATAATCCTAGAAAAATTGGGCATCCTGAAAAATACATCCAGTCTCCCAAATGGAAGTTTCCTTTTTTTTACCCCCTGCTCTCTCGTGACTAAAAAAAAAAACTAGTCCTCAAGTCTGATCACTGTGTTTGTTCAGAAGCTTTAAAATCTCCCCTGGCTTTATGCAGAAGGTTAGGGTAAAAACCCATCCATGACCCAGTAGGCAATAACCGGCATCTTCAAAGATGACTTTGAGTCCCAGTCTTTCCTCCTCACAAGGAAATTCGAGGACAAAGCACTCGTCTTGCACTATTATTAAAGGAAGCAGATCGCCCAGAAAAAAGCACCTTTCTGGGCCTCTCCGACCAAACCAGAAGCAGCTGAATTCTGGCAGCGGTTCAAAGGTGAAGTCATTCATGCCCCTCTCTACATTCTCTGCAATTCTTCCCCCAACCATGTGCATGTCTGCCACTAGATGGCAGCATAGCCCCAGAAAGGAAGGCTCCTCACAAAGAGCTTGGTTCAAGAACCCAGACTTAGACTTCATGCAGGCAGGCCCAAGCCCTGCCAGTAAGGAGAGGAGGGGGCAGGAAAAGGGGGGCCCCCTTTCTAATCCTGGCAGAAAAAAGTGTGCAAACCACCCAAGGTGGACCAGTGGACCAGGGAAGTATGATTCCAGAACTGTTGCAATACGGCCATCTTACACATGAAGCTGTAAAGGGAAAAATATTAGATTTGGTGGGGAAAAGGCTCCCTGGAAGAAAACCAGAGCCAAGACAGGACCCCCTGGGGCTGTAGAGAGGTCACAGCTCCATTGGACCTAAGAAAACAGGCCTCAGACTCCTAAAAAAAGGCCAAATTTTGACTTTACTCAGAAATCAGTGTGTTGTGATTTAGTGATCCGACACTATATGTAGGTATCTTGAGACTTTATCAATATCTTGGACATTACCTTTGACCTCCAGGTTCTTAGGAGACACCCTGCAACACATTCCTATAATGGAAAAATCAGGCTCTTTTCTCAGAGTTCAGTGTTTGAAAATTTGGAACCTAATTAATATATTATCAGTTAATTAAGATATCTCTCTCTCTCACACACACACACACACACACACACACACCCCTCAAATGAATTTCACCAACACAAATTTCAATGACGATCTTATTGGTAGATCACAGATGTAGGTTAAGTGCTTTGGCTCATTGACTGGCACATAGTAGGAACACAAAGGATAGCTCGCTCTTATTCAAAGAGACTTATCCGTGTGAAAACTCCAGTGGTGGATTTATTCAGGATCCTAGGAATTTGATTTGGGACTGGTGAGTGGAAGGCAGAATGTCAGGCCAGAAGAGAGCAAGAAGGAAAGAGTAGAAAGGGAGGCAGGGGACAGTCATTACCAGCAGCTCCTGGGGCTTGATGGAGTTGTCGGTGTAAATGCACAACTTTTCCGCGGTCAGCGGGATGGTTTCTTTGAGCTTGGAGGCCAGAAACATGCACACAGCACCCAGGAGCTGCAGATGGGTCTTCGGAGTGGGAACCCCAGCCAAGAAACGGTCCAGGTAATTCATGGCCAGAGGGAAGACTTCCTCTTCACACTTCTGTTCCTCACAAACCTATACAGGGAGTGGGCAAGGGTCGGGGGAGAATGAGAATAGTATCAGAAAAAGAGAAAAAGAATGAAAAAGTATCGTCTATGGAATCAACAAAAAGATTAGTTTTTTTTATGTAAGAGGGGGAGGGGAGTAAAAAGTGTGATAAGAATAAAGAAGAGAAAACTGGGATAAAATCCGATAGGTCATCCGTGCTTGGATATTCTCATGGAGCTAAAAAAAGGGGGCGAATTTAAGAACCAAGACCCGGAGGCAAAGAACAGCTCAGCTGCCGCCCGAGGCTCCACCGCGCTCCCCTTGGCTCCGACTTCTTTGCGCACTCTAACTCACTCACTCTTTTTTGGATTTCGTCATCTTTTCAAAAAATCAATAAAAATATTCTGGAGGCTCCGGGGGTCTCCTTCTTGGTCTCATTCGGATCCCCAGACCCTGCTCTATCATTCCCGACAATTGAAAAAAATGCCCGAGGGGGTCCCTGCGCCCCAGGGGCCGCTATTGGGGGGGTGGGTGGGGAGAGGTGGGGAAGAGCGGGGGAGGGAGGGGAGGAGGAAGAGCGCCGCAGCCGCGGCAGCTGGAGTCGGAGGGGGGGGACGATTTCAAAAAATAATTAAAAATCGAGGAAATATCCTAGAAAAGCCCTTTTGGCGTGAAAACCCCAAAGAGGATCCAGGCTTCCCAAAACGGAGGTTTTGGGTGACGGGAAGGTCTGTATCTCGACCCCTGGGGCTTTGGATCCCGAGGGGAAACTTGAAGGAGTGAAGCCGCGCGGGAGTGTCCGGCTGCGGCCCACAAGGGCAGAGACTAGGAACGTGGTGCCCAGTTGGAGGAAAGACGGGAACAGGGAGCCCCGGAAAGAGAAAGTGGGGGGCTCTGACCTCTTATTTAGGGGTGCCCCGAAATTCCCCCTACACACACCTCCTCCCTCCCCCCATCCTACCCCACCCAAATCTCCGCACTGAAGAAGCTGGAAAACCAAACTGTAAGTAATCTTTGTGAGTTGGGGACTCGGGGGAGAGGGCAGGATTAGAAGTGGGGTGGTCGGGATAATGGGGTGCTTAAGGGAGCGGGCGACGTTTTCCAGCCTTTCCAACTGGAGTTTGCAAAGCAACATGGCGAAACCACGGCAGGTCCAGAGCTGTGCATACGTGGGCACACAGTTCGCTCGGCAAAGATCCGGAGCGAGGGTTAAGAAGTGGTTCTTTTGGGTTCCCCTAAAACACGCGTTTCTTCAATACGACTTCCGGGGCTCCTGAATTCCCCGTTTCTCTCCTCCTCCCTCCTCCTTTTTCCCTCCCCCTCCCCCCTGAAGTGCCAACGCGGAGTCGCGACCACATGTGGGGACCCGAGGCTAGGACGAATTTGCTCCGACCTTTTGGGGGGCTGCCTTTTATTGTGGGTCGCGATTTTCCCTTCTTCATGGCACTGAAAATAGCCGCCGATCGGCAAAAGACAGGTCGGGATGGGGGTGGGAAGACGAGGAAGCCACATGCAGGCACCAGCGCGCGGGATGTTTCCCCCACCCCCGCCCCAGGACAGCCTCGTTTCTCCTAGATTTTCCTCCCCCTCCCCCTCCCTCGGTTAATCTAGCAAGGAAAAGAGTTGCAGCCACGCGTCTCGCCCAGAGGCGCGGGGTAACCTCACGCACTGTAGCCTGGAGGCCCGCGAGGGGGTTGTCCTCTCCCAGTTTGGGTCCCTGCGTGGGGGGCCAAGAATCCAGGTGGGGCTGTGGCTCCTAATGAGCGTCGCCTGCACACCTACCTCCAGCATCCAGGTAGCCACCATCCTGCGCATGTATGGCTGGATATCCTTCTGCACGCACTTGAAGTAAGAGCACTGAGGAAGGTAGCGCTCCTCGATGGTGAGCAAATTCTGCAGGACGCGGTCGTCCAGCAGGTTGCGGTCCGGCACGGCCCTGCGGACAGGGTCCACCTCGCAGCACAGCAGCTCCATGGCCAGCCGAGCGACTCGTTCTCCTGATTTCTCCGACTGGAAAAGTTTTATTTTATTTTGTCGGAGGGGGAGGGGCGTGGGTTCCCCTTACCTCCTTCCTTTGGCAAAATCGGGGGTTTCCGGGGGAAAGATGAGGGCAGAGAGAGAAGCTGGGAGAGAAGAGAGGAAGGGATGGACGGTGGGCGAGCAGAGCCTCAGGGGCTGCCTAACTCGCACCGGTCCTCGCCTTCAAACTCGTCTTGCTCTCCCCAGCTCGCTCTTCTCTGCTCTGAGGCAGTGACGCAAGCTGGCTGGGCAGTTAGGTCTCCTCCCTCTGCCTCGCTCCCCTCTCGGGTTCCTCCTCCCCTTTCCTCCCCTTCCCTGCCCTCCCATTCCTCCCCCTCCTCCCTCCCTCCCTCCTTTCCCCTCTTGTTATTAAGGAGAACAGCAGCTGGCCCGACCCAACTTCAAACGCGGTCCCCCGCTCCCCCCTCACCCCTCTCCCTAGCTCTCCCGGGCCCTCTCCCTCTATCCAGTCCCGCATGCCAGGGGCCCCGGATAGGGGAACCCACAAAAACCCACTAATTCCTATTTATTCCCTCTAATGTCACACATTCTGTAAGTGTACCAATGCCCAAACGCGACCCTCCAATTTTGGCTTCAAATTTGATCCTAATATTCCGGCCCACGTATTCAAGATCCAGGAATGGAGGATAATTTTCTTGAAGATGGGGTGAACTCAGACAATTTAGAAATAGATCCCATACGTGAAACATAACGGGGGGGGGGTGTGATTTTAGAAAATAGCAACCTCTCATACCCAAAGATAAAGGTTATGTCCCTGAAGTTTGTGTTCCTGATAACTTCGAAGCTGTTTCACAAGCCCGATTAAAGGGACCAGAACAACGTCTCCCTACCCCCAAGAATGTGTGTGGAGAAGATGAGGATGAAGGAATGAGTATCAGGAAGGGGCTGCTTCTCTGACTTGATAGAATGGGATCCTTGAGCAGAAACCTTCGTGTTCTTGGGGGCACTGGGGCACCATTGGGAGACGCAGTGAGACACCCAGTGCTGCCGCAGGACGGGGGCAGGGCTCTCAGCGGTTCTTCCGCGGCGGGTGGCCACGCAGGAAAAACCAGCTTCCTCGCCCCTGCATCTGCTGACAAGCCGCCCGAGGTGTCTGCGCAGAGCGTGGCCACACTGATACAGCTTTCTAGGAAATAGCCCGGGAGGGGGAGGGGAAGGCAGGGGAGAGGGGCGAGAGAAGGATTAGGTTTGGCTCCCTGTTGCTCCCCCTGCGCAAACAACGCCACCCCTTCCTTTTCCCGGAGGCTTCAGCCTCCCTTCGGATCCTCGCCCTGCATCCTTGCCGACCCCTCCGGGTTCGCGCCTCTCTTGGCCATCCTGGGCTTTAGATTGCGGTGGAAACGCTGTCAGCGCAGTCGGCCCTGACATGTGCTCTAACGCATCCTGGGGTCAAGGCTGTTTTTACAGGGGACTTAGTGGCATTTCCTCATCTCCTTCCTACCGCCACCCCTCACTGTCTTTCAGTGTATTCCTTTGGGGAGGAAGGGGCGAAAGCCCAGTGCCCCCAGCGTGTTGGCCGAGCTGGCACGTGCAGTAAGCATGGCGTGGGACTGGGCTTTCCGGGCATTCCGAAGTTGACCGAGTACCTCCTTCGCCGAGAAAGGGGGCCCAAGCAGGGACAAGGCGAGCGGGGGTGGGGGGGTGGGGGCGCTGGGCCGGGTGAGCCGTTTCACTAGGTTCCCTGAAAGGCGGAGCGGGATTGGAAGGGGGAAGGCAGGGAGTGAATCAACCAGAGGTGCAAGCGATTAACTCTGCCCCGGGAGCCAGCCCCTTTAAACGAGGGTGGGGCGGAAGGGGTGGGTGGGAGGGGGGGATATCGCTTTAAAAGGGTGAGTAAGAGTTTGGGGCGCCGTCTCCCCTCCCTCTATTTGCATAGCCAATAGCTCTGGGGCTCCTGCTACTGCGCGCTGATTGTTACCGGGCAGATTACTTTTTTTTTTTTTTTTTTTAGTAGGACGCGTTCCCCGCTACATCAAAAGGAAGCCAAGGGAGGGCGGAGGGAGAGCGGGGACTGGGGCGGGCGAGGGCCGGGGAGAGGCTGGGGCGCCAGCGACCTTATCAATGGCAGCGGGAATTAGTATCCAATCTACTATACGTAAAGAAAGGGGAGGGGAGGGGCGGGCGAGGAAAATGTCTAATTGCTGTGGAAGCCATTAGCTTTCGGAAGGAAAAAAAAAAAACTCATTGAAAAACCTTAGTTGCAAACTCAAAAGGAAACAGCTCTGCAAGCGGATGACACTCGGGCCGAGTACAGTGTCCATCACGTATTGATTTTAGTCAAGTTGGACTTCCCGACTTAACATTAAATTACACTCACACTTCTCGGCCACCTTAGAGCGGATCCAAGACAGCTGCTGGGGGAGAAGGGAGTAGCGAGAAGAGTAGGGGGCGGAAAGAGGTGTTTTAAAAGTATAAATCTAACCCGACAGGCAAGGACAGAAGCCGGCGAGGACTTCAGTCTCTTCACATCACTTGATAACTAACTGAGCAAGGTCTCTTCACCACTAGAGAGACAGCATCCCCAGCTCTGGGTCTCCCGAAGTCGGGGGGGCGGGGCGGGCAAAAGGCGGGTGGTCGACCCGGGGGCTCGCCCACCCGGAGGAGAAAGCCTGGGTGGCGCGTCAGCCCGTCTCTAGAGTGAGCCAAGGGCCCCCTCGCCCCTTCCCTCTCCCCCTCCCCCCCACCCTCTCCTTGCTTTACAGAGAAATTCCAGCGGGGAGGGGGATGGTGGGGGTGGGGTAGAGGTGGCCGGCGTAGGGGAGGGGCGGAGAGGGTCGCGGGCGGATGCCCCAGCTTCCCTGTGGCCCTCTTCATTCATGGAGATCTGCAAGTTCGGGTGCTTCCCTCGTGGCAGGCTCTCTTCTCTTAAGTTCCCCCATTCACTTCCCCTTCCTATTACAGACTGTTCCCGAACGTGAACCTCGCTCGCATCGAATCAGTCCCCTGGTCGTTTTTCAGTCTCCAACACGTGGGGTGGGGCGTGAGAGGGTGCGGAGGTTGGCAGGATGTCTCCAGGAGGCTAGGACTGGAAACTGAGTTCTCCCTTTTGGTCGCCACTCCGACCACGTTTAAGTTAAAACCTTAATTTCATTTTAAAATCCCTCCACCTAGCACGGGGGGAAAAGCACGTTGCCCCCGGGAAACGTGCGCATTTTCTTTTAATGTAGACTTAGGTGTGCAGAAAAAAGCGCAAGCGTGCTCTGGTCATTTGGGAGGTAAAAAGGTTCTTCCTTATCACCTTTTCACCTTCATGGGGTGGGGGGGAAATCCTGTCCTTTGTAGGATCGGTGATAAACTTCAGGAACGCAAGTTTTATTGGACTTTTATTCCCTCCCGGGCCGGCTCCCCGCCCCCCACCCCCCGCCCGCCACCACTCCTTGGGTTTTGCAGTTTCGGTTGGAGAGTGTACAAAACCCTGTAGGTGTAGGGTGCAGCAGGGTGTTGGGTGTTTATAGGCGCATTTCTGCAGGAACCTGCAACGCTAAGCACACATTCTCTCAAGCTCACCTGGCAGATGCCGGCCAGCCAGGTGATACTGCGACCGGCTCAAAACTGGAAAGCCTCGAGGGTTCGAGCCCCGCCGCCTGGGTGCAGGGGCGCTCAAGCAGGGTGGGGGAAGGGGACGGGAGTTCAGGCTCAGGAATGGGGGCCATCACCCTCCCTCCCAAGTCCCCCAAAGAATAGGGCTATATTTACATTTCTCCAAGTTGGGATGGATGGTCAGCCCATCAAAAGTGAAAACCCGACAGTTATTTAAAAGTAGATGAAGTGAGAAAAGGCACAGAAAGGTGGGTTGGCAGAAAAGTAGAAAAAAATGTGAGAAATGATAAGAGGGTAAAGTCGGAAAGTGTACAGCACGAGGAAAGAGGGTTGGTGGATGGGATTGGGATTCTAGAGTCCCTGACGCCTAGGAGAGGATTCCGGGTGTGAAAGTGCCTGCGGGCTCCTCTCCTCTAGGCAACC